ATCAGTTGCTGCTCAATGTTGTGAGAACATACTCGGACAAAACCCTCCAGTTTTAAAAGAACACATTCCAGTCAGTTTCAAAAATCTCTCTCCTCTTCGTGTCGATTAGTTTTCTTGTATTTTCTACACATATTCCTGTCATGAGCGCCGCAAACACGGATAGACTCGTCTCATGCGCCATTCCAGCTGTTTCCAGTTCGCGCTCACCACACACTGCTGCAGTTTTAAAGGAACACACTCCAGACAGTTTCAAAGTTGTCCCTTGTCTGCGCTTCGATTTGTTTTCTCCTATTTTCCACACGTTCCCATCTTAAGCACTGCAGTCACGGATTTCGTCGCACACAGAGCCGTTCGCGTTTGAACTCACGTGACTTGCTGCATGCTCTCATTCACGTCCTCCACATTCATAACCCAGCAACGTCGGGTTATTACTGATATCAACCCAAATTGGGTCACATCAAGCCAGCTTCCTAACCCAACAGTCTCAACCGAGCGTTTGGATTGAAACAATTACCAGCGTGTTTTATATGTGTAGGCTAAAAAAGTACACAGTGTATGTTTTTGCTTAATCGCTTGCAAATATAAGAGGTCATACATACCCTGTAATATTAGAATAGGTACCGCTTAGTTTCAAAATACTTACAGTAGAAATAATTTGTAATTTTACAGATTATTACTCCTTTATTCCCCAAACTTCGCATATTGTTACCTTACACCTACACGGAGGTACTGAATAGGTACACTGTAATTACAAAAAAGTTACGCTGTAAATTCTGTTTACTTACGCAGTACATTGCGGGTTGTAATCTAAAGCGTTACCGATTAATCTAAAGTCCATGATGTAGATTATGCTGTGTCAGCAAGTAAGAACTTACATTTGCTGCAAGCTAATGTTAATAATGTAAATAATTTATGTATTGATTGAGATGATGGTTAGTGTGATGGTAAGTAAAGAGTTGACAGTACCATAATGAATATGTTGTAGAAACGTTAGGAGCAGTTCTGTTCACTTACTCCAGGGATGTCCAATCCATTGTCCTGCAGAGTTTAGCTCTATAACCCCAATCAAATAAAGCTGAATCAGCTAATCAACCTCTTTAGGATTACTAGACACTTTCAGGCGTGTGTGTAAGAGCTAAACTCTGCAGGACCGTAGCCTTTATGCCTGGTTCACACTGCACGACTTTCAAAGTCGTCGGATCGCTACTCTTCTCACACTGCACGACTGTCTGGGGTTCCTTCTAATTGCTGTTGTGCACATTACACGACGGATCGGCGACAGGGGGTTACACATTACACAACTTGTCAATAGGAAGAATCACAGACAACTTTGTCTGGTTTACAAACTACGTTTCTCAACCAAACACACGCGAGAAATGATACGGGAAATAATGTAAGATCATGCGAAAAAGATCGCGCTGTCAAAAAAAGTAGCCAGCAAAACAGCTTGCGATCCAAGTTGTCTGTACACTGATTTGCAGGGAAAAATTTAAAAAAAAATGTAAAAAGAAGAATATGAATGGTGGCATGCTGATGTTCTGTTGCAAATCTATTATGACTCCTCCCACTGAACGTTTCCTTGCCCTGTATCTGTTCTCTCATTGGCAGTAGGTCGTCACCGATGTCATATCCTGTCAAAACACATTTCACACTGAGTCGCCAACAGGTCCAGATATTTAGCATGCCAAATATCTCATGGGCATTGGTGATACATTGGCGCTTCTCTCAGATCACGTCTTTGATAATACACACCATGCGATTGTCACTCACGTGAACGAGCACCGATTTGCCTCAGATTTTGGTCATTTGTCGGTGATTTCCACAAAACTGTAAGCAAGTGAAAATCAGTGTTAAAATCGTGCAGTGTGAACCCTGCATTAGGGAGCAGGATTGGACACCCCTGACTTAAACGAATGATTTCACTTATAATAATTTTTCTGCTAATAGTTGACTGTGAAAAGCAAAACGGGATACTCTGTAAAGTTTGTAAGAACAATATTGGCACCACTCTAATATTGGTCACACAATGAGTGGTCAGCATGACCCTGTCTGTTTTCTAAATGCATTTATTGAATTTACAATTCATCCATGCATATGTTTTATTTTTTTATCTCATAATTTTTAATCAAAATGGCATAATTGGATCTTGTGGTAAAATTACAGACTTCTCTGTGGTGACATATACAGTGCCTCTCCAATCATTTGGTGTCAATCAGATCTTCCTCCATTCAATCAATAACCAATGGATAAAAGTCCCGCCTTTTTATTTTTATTTTTTGATCATCTGTTTCACTTGGATATACTTAAAGTTGCAATATAATGAAAGTAGTGAAGTATAATTCTTCGTATTATTACATATTGCACATTGAAATGTACATACAATTGCATTACATACAGTAAACCTTTCTATTTGTTTGAGAAAAGTAATGATAACAAGCTATTTACTGATAGATAAGCATCAAGAGGAAAAGATTCTATAATAAACTGCTAGATAACCATGTGTACAAATGTTGAAGAGAAATGAATGTGCAGTTTTTGAGTATGCATTTATTTAGTCTCTAGTAGGTACTAGACTCTAAATAAAAATAATAAATAGGCAGGGATATTTACTTTTGTTCCTGGAGGGCCACAAACTAGAGTTTAGTTCCAACCCTAATGAAACATATCAGAACTAGCTATGTTTGATTAGCGTTCCTTCCAGGAACCCTGTGTTTTATAATGACTAAAACTGGCATCTTCTCTGCAGGTTGGTACAATCGTCTTTACATCAACTTCACTCTGCGTCGTCATATCTTCTTCTTCCTGCTTCAGACGTACTTTCCCACCACTCTGATGGTCATGTTGTCATGGGTGTCCTTCTGGATCGACCGTCGAGCTGTTCCTGCACGGGTTCCTCTGGGTGAGATGTTTCAGCTGAATCACGTCAATTGCATCTTGCTGCAAACCACTGCAGCGTGTGTCGTTGCATCATTTCGTTACACTGCATAAAACATGTATATCTTGCAGCATGCACTTTTGAATAAACTGATCCAGCTTGATCTCTTTTGTAGGCATCACGACGGTGCTCACCATGTCCACCATCATCACTGGAGTGAACGCCTCCATGCCCAGAGTCTCCTACATCAAAGCCGTGGACATTTACCTGTGGGTCAGCTTTGTCTTTGTCTTCCTGTCTGTGATCGAGTACGCTGCTGTCAATTACCTGTCCACTCTGCAGGAGCGCAAAGAGAGGACGCAAAGCAACAGGGTAAGCTAAGACCTTTTATCATTTATTAAGATGTACTTGTGTGGTGGTCAATACAGCATTTTAGCAAGGCCATAAAGAATGTAGACGCTGTACTCAAATACTTAGTACAAGTATTTAATGAAGGTGGGATTCAAGAAATTCATAAGTTCTAAGATAAATTCAAAGTTTGTAAGAATGTTCCTATGTGCAATTTATAAAAAAATGTTTTTTGAACTTTAAATCATGTAATGCATTCTAGCACAGCCCACAAATGAGTGAGTGAGAACTTGTAAAGGAGTGTAATATGTGACCCTGGAGCACAAAAGCAGTCTTAAGTCGCTGGGGTATATTTGTAGCAATAGCCAAAAATACATTGTATGGGTCAAGATTATCGATTTTTCTTTTATGCCAAAAATCATTAGGATATTAAGTAAAGATCATGTTCCATGAAGATATTTTGTAAATTTCCTACCGTAAATATCAAAACTTAATTTTTGATTAGTAATATGCATTGCTAAGAACTTCATTTGGACAACTTTAAAGGCGATTTTCTCAATATTTTGACTTTTTTGCACCCTCAGATTCCAGATTTTCAAATAGTTGTATCTCGGCCAAATATTGTCCTATATTGTCCTAACCTATGATGTATAAATCTCAATTTCAAAAATGTGACCCTTATGACTGGTTTTGTGCTCCAGGGTCACATATATGCACTTTACAAGGAAAATGGCAGGTTTTGGTGTTATCTGATGAATGTGCTTTAAATTCAGAGCATGTGATATTACATGTAATGTGTGATTGTGTGATCCAGCAGTTGCCGTGTACCTGTGGAATGACCCATCCTGGTCAGATGATGATGAGCAGCAGCTACAGCGACATGGACATGATGACCACAGGGAACTACGGCATGTCGGAGCTGAGCGGAGACAAACAGGAGCAGTTCCTGGTTCATCTGGTCCTGGATAATGAGCAGGGAGCTCAAAGACCTGCTGTAAGCTCCAGCAGCAGCTTATATATAGACACGCATGCCATAGACAAATATTCACGGGTCATCTTCCCTGGAGCTTATACACTCTTCAACATCATATACTGGTCCATCTACTCAAATAGTTCGCGCAAAATCGTCCCAGTACTTTAGTACTGTACATTTAGTTCTGGAACTAAAGCGGTGCGAAAGGCCCTATATGACCGCTGCTCCTTTACATTAGATGACATTTGAGAAAGTGTTGGGAATACAGATTACCTATGAAAAACTGTTTCTTTTTTTAAAAATTACGCTTGCAACATGGAATCAGTTTTTGCCTCTCAGCAATAAACGAATACATGTGATTGTATGTGGGCAGTTGACATGAGGCACTAGTTTTCTCTCCTCAAAAGAAAAGGTTTATTTTTTCATTTTTTCTTGTATATTTTAATCTTTAGGCTGAATAGCAAAGAACATTGATTTTGTCAATAAATATTAAATTGCCTATTCAGATAGCAATTTGTTTAGCATTTTCAAGTAAAATGTGTAAGTTGTACTGATGTGACTGTACATGAACTTTGAAATACAGAAACATCAAAATGAACAACATAGATCAAAATATTATTTAAATACATTATTGTTATAATTACAATATTATTTACTGGGGGGTTCTTTTTTTAATCTCTTGGGAACCTTGCAAATACTGCAAATCAGGGAAGATGGAAAAAGACATTTCCATTTGCCCTCCTACAATGGACTAAATCTGTAATGTTTATGTGGAACAAAGTCCAAGTTTATTTATTCATTCGTTTAGTTTTGTACCTTAACATAATAGATTTTTAACATTTAAGCATAAAGGCACAGCATAAAAATACAGTATGTTTTGCTTATTTGTGTTGATGCAGCATATTGGCATCATGTGTCATGATCTGATCATGTGTCAAAATAGCCGAATATCTTGAAATGTGCAGTGTAACACATTAAACTCCATCTAAACCCACTTTTTTATAATTGTATTAAAATTACTGTGCATATTTTTTTGCATGTTACTGATACTATTTTACAGACTACATGGAATATTTGTACTTTTAATTAAATTTTTAAAGGGGTCATCCGATGCCCATTTTCCACAAGTTGATATGATTCTTTAGAGTCTTAATGAAAAGTCTGTAACATAGTTTGGTTAAAATTTCTCAATGGTAGTGTAAAAAACACCTTTTTTACCCTGTCAAAAACAGCTCTTTTCAGAGCAAGCCGTTTTGCAGCATTTTCCTTTAAATGTTAATGAGCTCTGCTGACCCCGCCCCTCTCTTCCGAGCTGCTCTCAGAGAGACTGTTTACTTTAGCCGCATTCATTGTGAAACTTGCTAATTAGCACATTATTTGGAAAGGCGATTTGCAAAGATTAATTAAAAAACCTTACACTCATTTCTTCTGGAGGTGAAGCTGGATGAGAAAGGGGTAAAGATTTAAGTAGATTAACAAAAAAACACTGGGTGGATTTTTATCATCATAGGGTGGTTGTGTACACACTGCTAACACACATTTCAGTTCAAACAACTTGTAAAAGTGCATGTAGCACTCTACGACCCTTGTAGCACATGTAGCACTCTATGACCCCTTTAAGACCCCAGAACCACTGAAATGAACTAAAAAAGGCAAAAAAAGATGAATTAAAAACTGAAAACAGCCATTACTTAACAGTAACAAAATATTTCACACTGTAAAAAAAATATTTTGTTTTTGAAATTGTAAATAAAACAAATTACTGGAATATTTGTATGAGTAATATGTTTAACTCTATGTGTTGCTGTTTCTTTGTAATTATTTACTGTATGAAGTTTACTAGCAATTTCTGAGTGCAAACGCCAGTTATTTTCAGCGCAGACACTCAAATGGATTGCAAAAAAAAAAAAAAACACCTTGAGCAGTTTGTTGCAGCCGGCTGATAGTAAAGTGTTTCTTTGGAATTTTATAAAGTTTCATATGATTCCAGAATAAATACACCAGTGTCTGAGAGCGTGAGAGTGTCCGTTTCCAAAGTAAAGAAGACCTAATTTTCAGAAATAATTTAGAGGAAGCAGGAGGAAACATTTCATTTGTTCTTCAAATAACTACTGAGATTATTTATTTTTATGAATATATTTATGCATTATAGATGAAGACACTGATACAATACATTATTATACATTATATTAACTTTTGGTTGATGTTGTTCTTGTATCTCCTGAGTTGTGTGAAATACAGTGTTTTTGGAAAATAAAGTTTTTCCTGACCAAATCTTCACGTGAAACGGTGTATTCTCTTATTTTAAAGCTTAGGTTTTTATTTGACAAGTGTACAACACAAGTCAAGTTAACTCACCTTTATTTATACAATACAGATTGTCTCAAAACAGCTTCATAGTAACAAACTGAAAAATTTTGACAAGTGTACAACACAAGTCAAGTTAACTCACCTTTATTTATACAATACAGATTGTCTCAAAACACCTTCATAATAATAAACGGGAAAAAAAAACAATAAATGATGCAAACTTCATCAAATATGACAGGAATTCAAATTCTGCTATAAAGCAGCAAGTCAACAGTCATTATTCAGCTCAATGCAGTTCAGTGTTCTCATCTGATAGTATCATTGCAGTCAAACTAATATTAACAATTTAATACTCATATTACCGAATATTTAGTGCCAAAGGTGACAGTGACGAGGAACCCAAACTCCACTAGGTGACAGAAATGGGGAAACCAGGCTCAGTCCGGGGACCACGCAAACCGTGCCGAGCCGAAACGTGCCGTGCCGAGCCGAGCCGAGTCGTACCACGCAGTGGAAAAGCGCCATTAGTTCTCAACATCAATCAGAATATCTTTTTTGTGTGTGTTCCACAGGTTTGGAAGGTCATGAGGCCGAGTAAATGATGACAGCATTTTCATTTTGGGCTGAACTATCCCTTTAACTCAGTCGCTTTCCTAAACTACTGCAAAGTTCAATAGTTCTTTGCAACAAGTTGTAGCAAGTCCGCTTTATTTTCTAAAATGTCCCATTTCAGATTCGAGCTCAGGGTTCTGCTCGGACCTTCAGCAGGGTTTTGAGGTGCACAGACATCTGCTCTTTGCTGCAGTGCTGCTGAAGAGCACCTTCTCCCACCCAGTGGCTGGGCGGTTTGGGGAGGACGCGGGGAGAGGGCGGCTCACTGAACTTCGCTCCAGCGTACGTCTTCTCGGCCTCCGACGAGAGCTCAGGAGAGCAAACGTTCACCCTCCTGAGGCCCTCAGCCGTGCTCTTCCCCGTGTGTGTGGGGTTCTCCTGTCTTTGAGTGTTGTCCGCTGCATTTCTTTGCTTGCTCCACTGTCTCCGTTTGATCAGGTTGTCGGTGGTTTGCTCAAGCCGGCTCGAGCTGTGGACAGACAGTCTGCTGGGCTGGATCCCTCGTTCAACACTTTCGGTTTTTAACTTCAGTTGCTGAAGACAAACAGGAAAACATTAGGATCATGTAAGACGGTCAGACCACACAGGACTTCTCACACCACGTCCAGAAACGTGCATTTATTTCCAGTGCCAAAACACAGTGTGTGATGATTTCATCTGAGGCGTTTAGTGCTGGAAACCTTTCTGAATCATTTGCTTTGAATCAAGAGAGCAGACCACAAACGTGCAGTATATGTTGTGTCTTCCTTTTTTTTCTCCGTAATGTTACAGCGGAATACAGAAGAAAAAAAAAATAATGAGAAAAAGCACAGCGAACTGAAAAGAGGTCTTGCCATAAATATTCTTGTTATGTTGCGTCTCATTGAAATACCAAGCGTTGCGTTACTCTCTTGACGTCTGAAAGCGAAATGAAAGAAAATGTACAGCTCATTCGGTCAAACTGATGGATAAGGATTAGCTGTAGTGCAACCTTGTAATTGGAAAATCATTTGTTTCAGTCTTTTTGAGTGGATCTTCCCCAATCTAGAAGTGCGTCCCATAATTTAAAACATAGTGGACTCGTTAGGAAAAAGGTGGATAATCAAAAGACTTAACAGTGAGATTATAGTAGTAGTGAAATTTGAAGGACTAGTGTATTTAAACAAGTCATTTTTTCTAATTCCTATCAAAGCCCAATTCTGTCCAGCCTGTTAAGCCTTTTTAAATTATAATTTCATAATGTACACAGTGCACAATCATTAAAAATATTAAGTCTTTTAAGCTGTTGTTCATTTGTCCCTAACAGGGTCGACATTTTTGGTCTTCAATTTTGTTTCAAAAATGCTTGAAATCGCCTGAGCTTGACCAAAATCATTTAAAATGTTTTACATCTTACATCATGATTACACATAACGTTATTTTAAAAACTGTGTCTGATTTTCTACATTCTATGATGTCCAAAAGGCTCATAATATCAGGAATGACCCACGTGTGTCTGTGCATCTCCGTAGTGTCCACATTTGGGACCATCCTGCAAAATTTGGGGGTCCCTGCGATTTACAGTCTTTGATGCCCATACACTTTTATGGCAGGACAAAAAAACAGAAAAAGGATCAAATTAAAAACAGCACAAATAGCACCGTCTGTGCTTGGACCCTTAATTATAGAGGTCGTTTCACCAATTCATTAGGTAAATGAGCACATACACATATACAATTGTACACTTTGTTTGACAATAAAGTTTTGGTTGTTGTACCTTTCCTTGAGAAATTGGCTTCAATATTCTGATTTGCAAAAGTTTCACAGTGCAATGTTGGTCAGTTAACCCTTCCCTGATTCATTTACATCACTATTTTGATTTGTGAAAATGTTCACAGTGCAGTTATGGTCAGATAACGGTTCAGTCAGTAACATCACTATTCTGATCTGTGAAAACTTTCACAGTTCACTACGGGTCAGTTGACCCTTCCCTGAGTCACTAACATCACTATTCTGATCTGTGAAAACGCGGACTTACCAAGGGGTTTACGGACAAGAGCTTAACTGTGAAAAATTCACAGATCAAGCTGGTGAAATTGACACCGGTTTCAATCCTCTAAGTGTCCAACTTTTGGAGCTATAGGCGTTAAAAAATTGAGATTCGCAACGAAAAAAAACCTGATTTCGGCCCGAAGGACAGCGTCACCTGAATTCACAAATCATGGAGAACGACACTCGGTTTTATTTTCATGTCTATGACAGCGCACTGTGTATTTATAGCCAAAAGAAATCTGAATATCAAACCATCTTTACTGCGGTGTCATAACATGAGGTTCAGCAGCTCTTTCTGTCAGGATTCAAGAGCGCGTGGTGATGGGTTATGGATCAATCCTTCCGGGATCCGAACCCACAACTTTTCATATATTTAAACACTAAATTAAACCAACCCAAGACTATTTACTGACTCTTAATTTTAATAACACCATAAACACATTAACCAACTAATCAAAACGGATAGTATTAATTTTTAGTGCAAGGTAAATGCACATGCCCAAACCTGCTATTACCACGGCAATAAAGCCCGATACCTGTTTATTGGTGGCTGGTTTGGAGTGAGCTGGTTTGAGCTCTTCACGGGTGGTTAACGGAGGTTTGCAGCTGCTTTTGCTGATGTTTCCTGATGCTTTGTTGGGTTTACTGTGCGCGTTTCGTCCGCTCTTCTTCAAGAGCGCTTGCTTGGATCTGCTTTTCTTCATCTTCACTGCTTTATTCTCCACGCTCGATTCCACACGATGTCCAAAAGCATCGCCCAGCATGATATCGACCTAACTATCTAGATAACTTGCTATATCAAATACGTCTAGATGTAAACAGACGCTGGTGGTGATGATGAATGCTTGCAGCTTTCGATCGGATCCCGAGGACCGCAGAAGGTGACGGTCGAGGAGATCTTCTCAATCAGATGTTTTGATCTTTTTGATCTCTGTCTTTGCTGATGCTATTAAAATATTCGTGCATAACGCGCTCCAAAGTAAAAACATCACCGTTGCTTTATCTCGCCATGGCTGAGCACTGCGCATGCGTCCTCTATTACATCATATTTGTCTGAAAATATTTGAGGATGTTAGCCATAACATATACTGTATAGAATACAGAATAATGTAATGAATTATAGAATATTGTGGTAAAAAAAAATTTGGATTTACACTTACATTTTAGAAACAATGTCAATCGAGTGTGTTAATTTTCTATAGTCAACCACCTAACTGAAACAAATCGTTTACCCCTAAATTAAAAACAAGATATCTATCTATCTATCTATCTGTCTGTCTGTCTGTCTATCTATATCTATCTATCTATCTATCTATCTATCATCTATCTATCTATCTATCTATCTATCTATCTATAATCTGACTCTATCTATCTATCTATCTATCTATCTGTCTGTCTGTCTGTCTGTCTGTGTGTCTGTCTGTGTGTCTGTCTGTCGCTGTCTGTGTGTCTGTCTGTCTGTCTATCTATATCTATATCTATCTATCTATCTATCATCTATCTATCTATCTATCTATCTATCTATCTATCTATAATCTGTCTCTATCTATCTATCTATCTATCTATCTATCTATCTGTCTGTCTGTCTGTCTGTGTGTCTGTCTGTCGCTGTCTGTCTGTCTGTCTGTCTGTCTATCATCTATCTATCTATCTATTTATCTAGTGGCGAAAACATGCATGCAAAAACGGCCCCCCCAAACGTAATAGGTTAATGTGGGATCCAACGCTCCTTATTGTTGTCTTTTCTGAGATAAATCACATAACATGACAATTCACAAGCTGTTTTATTGACGGTATAAATGCCTGGAAATAATATTTAACATTTTCAAGTGTATTCATTATTTGTATCGCAATAAACGTTTTGTTACTTTTAATAGGCGATAACACAAATAGTACCCTTTAAATTCTTTATCAAGAAATACAAACAATACATGTATTTTTCTGCTCTTTAATGTGGCGTGAGATCACTGCGTTCACTTCAGTTCAAGCGGCACGTGAATCAATCATCTTCCTCTTACAGCACAAAATAAACATGAATGAATATCAGAAGATGTGTTGAAAAAAATCAGAACAACTTAATAAAACGAATGTAATCAATCAATCAGTGTTTCTAAAATCGTCAGTAAAACAGCTTGTGAATAGTCATAACAGTTGTAACCTCAGAAACGCCAACAATATAACTTTGCCAACATTGTTTTATTATTTTCATAAATCAGTCAGTTAACCGCCACAGCCGCCAACCTTTTTGGAATAGGTGGAATTTTCACATTAATTAACTTTATTCACGCAATATAACAACTTTAATCTCGTAATTTTGACTTTATTCTAAAAATATTATGACAAATGCTGCCATATTTACTAAATTACTTAATGCAAACACACTCATGGCACAGCGGTCCAAAATGCAAAAAGACAGAAAGAAAGAAAAAAAAAAAAAAACTCACATTTTAGTTGTAATTTAATTTACATATTTTATTTAATTTAATTCTCGGGGCCTTTCTTTTGGCAAATTCACCCACAATGTCCTTGGTGTTTAATTTAAAGGAGACATATTATGCCCCTTTTTACAATATATAATATAAGTCTCTGGTGTCCCCAGAATGTGTCTGTAAAGTTTCAGCTCAAAATACTCCACAGATCATTTATTATATCAAAATGCCTATTTTGAGTGGAAGCAGAAACAGGCTGTTTTTCAGGCCTATCTCTTTAAATGCAAATGAGCTGCTGCTCCCCGCCCCCTTTTCCAGAATAGAGCTGTGCCATTACAGCTCGTATCTGCTAAAAATATCTGTTTTGGTTCTGATTATCACGTTTATCGCACTGGAATCATCCGTTTTAAACCATATGAGTTTAATCTTCTGATATACGGTTTTCTGCGAGCACACATCCGAAGCACACGCACAGAAAGCGGCTGTCACAGCATGTGAGTACTAAACTAAGTTCTCATTCAGACACAAGTTTACGTTAAAAACACACGAGTTACAAAAACAGTCGGTTATGTCTGTGAAGGTAAACAGCTGGGAAATAAATCGCTTGTTTATTTTAGATCTGTGTGGCAGCAGCAATATACAGTAAATAAATCAATAAATGCACTGCTCTGTTGTCTCCTCTGAGGCTGGGACTCTAAACAGTGTTCTGTGCTCGTCTGTGCAGCCAAACACAGAACAGTTAGCATGCTTTGCTCAAACTTTCATCATGGCATTAGAGCTGGTACACCATTGTCGCTTGTGAAATCAAAATGAGGTGCCCGTGGGTGGAAACTTACAGATGAAGGGGCAGTAATATTATAATGAGATCCCTTTGCCACGTCACCAAGGGAGCGAAATCTGACGCGCTCGTTTTCTCAGATGCTTGCAGAAAAAGGCTTACCAAAACAAAGTTACTGGGTTAATCTTTTTCACGTTTCCTTGGCTGGTAGATGCACCGGGGACCCGATTATAGCACTTAAAACCTAGAAAAGTCAGATTTTCATGATATGTCACTTTTAAGGCTTTGTGTATTCTCAATAGAAAGAATGGCTTTCGATAATCTTTCAATAAAAGAGAATTAAAACTATATTGTCTAACTATATTGTGGCCACAAATTAAGAATACATTCCCTCGTTTTAATTATAAGGTCCCCCTTGGTGGGCCCCCAATCAGCTCAGGCATACCCAGATGCTACGCCCCTCTATCTATCTATCTATCTGGATGTCTATCTATCTATCTATCTATCTATCTATCTGGATGTCTATCTATCTATCTATCTATCTGGATGTCTATCTATCTATCTATCTATCTATCTGGGGTGCGTTTTCCAAAAGCATTGTAAGCTAACTATGGTGGCAAGTTCCATTGAACTCTATCGGTAACGACAGAACTTGCGACCCCTGTCTGTCTGTCTATCTGGATGTTTAGCACCCCCTCCTGGTCGCCTGTGGTCACTGCTGTCGGTTTCAGTGGGTAACGCACAGAACTGCGGGATAACGTGGAGAATTATTGTTTACTTCTGAGCCGGGTTTGAGAAGCGGACGCCTCATGGAGCTCATCTCATGACTGCTGACCCGAGGAAGAGCCTCTGTACAGCGCGAAGCTGTTGATAAAGCTGTGAAACGCTACTAGCGCTGGGGTTTGTGTGAAGGGCCCAGGCAGCCGATCACCGAAGATCCTCCAGCCCTCGACACACAGGCTTGAGCTCTGGAGCAGCGCTCGTCTCGTATATCGACGGGAGCATGTCTCAAACCGGAGCGCCTCTGCGATGGAAGAACTGTCCCAGAAGAGGACAACCCGTGGCTGGTGAGCATCTATCAGATACTTGTCAACAAAGCTGCTCTAACAGTTACTAATCCACATTCACTCTCCAGGATAAAATGATTTAAGTTAGCGTTTTAGGGTTAGGCTAATATAGAAAGCATAAGTGTACTGAAGCACAGAGCTATGTAAATGCAGCTTCAGTAAACCCAGATTAAACCTCTGTGCTTTCAGTCTAACTAACGGATAGCTAACCATTAGCCTGTGCTTGTTCATAGCACTGATTTATAGCGCTACCATTGCACTGCGTCAAAATAAACGCAGAAATATGCCAAAATAAACTAATGATAACTTAATTACGTGTGTTTTAATTAGGAACATGTACGGCGTCAAAGTAGATACAAGGGCCTCTCTAAACTTGTTTGTTTTGACTGGTTTCAAACTGAGTGGCTAGCCAGATTAGCTCGCTGTACGCAGGACAACACAAGTACGTCACTGGATAAGAGGCGGGAGGCGTGTGTTCGAATTCCACTATGGCGCGGGCTTAGTTCATGAATATTAATCGCGTAATGTTACGTTCGGCCTGCTGATTTGCTGAGAGGCAGACGTCCGTAAGGAGCTAACGAATCGTACTATGACGAAGGCTTAGTTTAGGAATATTAATGAGAAGAGTCGACCTGTGCCGTAATTAATATTCATGAGATTAGACTTCACCTTAGTACTACTAGGGATCGTCAGCGGAATACCTCAAAAATATTGAAATGGGTGTATTCCCTGAGATTTCAAGCATTGTAAATAAATATAGTACATTTAACGACTCGTTTTTGCATCTAAGATCAGAGTAAAATATTATGTTAAAATAAAATGCGCTCAGTGTTGGGAAGTAACTAGTTACATGTAACGGAATTACGTAATTTAATTACAAAATAAAAGTAATTGTAATCAGTTACAGTTGCTAAGAAAAAAATGTGTAATTAAATTAGTTACTTATGAAAATTAGACAGGGGGTTACATCTGATTTTTTTCACACACACACACACACACTCCCACATACAGATTTAATTGATTTCTTTCATAAATTAAACACCAATGTTTCAGAAGTTTATAACATGCTTATGTATGTTGTAATTTTGAGTGTCTGGTTTTAATCCAATCCTAAGCATCTGGTGCCACACCTACAGAACAAATTACAGTAAAAATACTTTAAGGGATAGTTCACCCAAAAAATTAAATTTCTTATCATTTGCTCACCCTCATGTTCCAAACCTGTAAGGCCCATAATGTTAATCTTCAGAACTAAATTAAGATTTCTTTTTGATGAATCCTGAGAGGTTCCTGTCCCTTCACTGAAAATCCAGTTAACCAAAACTTAAAAGATCCAAAAAGTACTTACATCACCAAAAATGATATAGCAATGTAGCAAGAGCAGCCATATGTAAGCTGAAATATCGGCAGCTGGTTTGTTCAGTTGAAATATGAAATATAGGCAGTTCATTGCCTCTCAAAGAAGTTTATTCTTGGTTTATTCTTAGAACTGGTTTATTTTAGCACCTTAGAACATCCTAAACATCCTAACAACAGCATAAAGAGTTTAGTTAGCCAAATTTAATGACCAAAACTTTATTATCGTTTTTGATTTTCAGCTAAATAAACATTTTAAATAAATTTTGATGCATCAATACTAATATGTGTTTCTAGTCAGTAGGTGTTTAAATACCTGTAAAGCCAGTCTGAATCCATGCTGCTTGTCCTTCACACAGCTCATCAGTAGATAATGAAATGTCTCTTGTGTGATGGGTTGTCCATTTTGAAGCATCTCCTATACATGCATTTACACACAAACCAAATGATGTTACTGTGGCATTAGTGCAAAAAGAATAAAAAATAATAATAAATCATCACATCACTGGGTGTTTTGACAGTTTTATACCCACAGAATTTGAAAGCATGACTTCAGATCTCCAGCAAAAGCAGCTGTTTTGAGCAAAGCATGCTGGGCAATGGCACTGAGAGGGATGTTCTTCTTGAGAAGCTCTTGCTTGAGCTTCAATGCCTGTACCAGCCCTGACTGTTTCCATGGTGACTCCGCACAAGCGTTGAACAGCGCAGTGTATGTAGCATCGGATGGCTCTATCCCTCGCTTCTTCATCTGAGTGATAATATAACATACAAACAGGGTTAATTAAAGATCAAGTGTGTCATTTATGCATCATTAGCAGCAGCATCTAATATAAATAATAATATGTGAAAATGCATTGTCATCTTACATTATTGTACAGCTGAAAGGCTTTCTTTAGGTAGCCGACACGTCCACATCCACCGATGAGCACAGTGTAATTGTACTCCTCAGGCTGTAACCTCTCGCCTTTGAGCATATCAGCCTCAAACAGAACTAATGCCTCAGCCAGCTACACACACATACAAAAAAAATTTATTAATTAAATAAATAAATAAATACATTAAAATGTGTATTGGTTTATATGGAACAAAGAGACATATGATATATACTTGCATTTATATGGCACTTGTATAAAAAAAAACATTGTAATAGCACAATAGAATACTTATTATTAAAATAATATACTTTTAAAGTGCATACTTAAGTGTGTACATACTTAAGTGTGAACTAAATGTAATGTTTTTTTGACAACTGCATGTTGAAGATGTATTCTAATTTAAATTTATATTAAATGCAATTAGATTAACTTAAAAGTGTTTTTTTCAACCCACTTAAGTACATCTTTACATGTAATTTCATAATTACTTATATTGTCTTTGAAATATGGTTAAAGTGAAATATGGTTAAAGTGTACTGCCAAATGTAATAGGCACTTATAGTAAACTAAAATATATATTTAAAGTAATTTGTATCGAAACTTGAGTGTCATGTATTTGCAATTATAAATTTTTAATGGCGAAATTGCAGTTTAGTGAATATGTATTCATTTTAAATGTAAAATTGAACAACACACTATGGTTAAATTATAACTTTAGTATGTTAGTCAGCACATCAAAATAAGTGTACTTTTTTAAAGCTCAACAAAAGATTATTAAAACAATTTTTTAAAATACACCAATTAAAACTTGTAATTTGACGTTACTGCACAGTGTACTTTTAAAGTGTACTTGAGTGTGTTAAGAAACAGTGATAAAAGAGTACTCTCTCTTGAAGTGCATTTAAGTGGCCATTTAATTAATATTCTATTATCTGCAAATACAGTTTTAATATACATTTAAGACTGAAGTACACTGAATACAATTAACTGCACTGCTTTTTCACAGTCTGAAAACATCACTGCATCATAGTCAGTGTTGGGGAGTAACTAGTTACATGTAACGGAATTACGTAATTTAATTACAAAATAAAAGTAATTGTAATCAGTTACAGTTACTGAGAAAAAACATGTAGTTAAATTACAGTTACTTATGAAAATGTTAAGGATTACAAAGGGGGTTACATCTGATTTTCTTTCACACACACTCCCACATACAGATTTAATTGATTTCTTTCATAAATTGCAGTGACTGCTCTAAAATATGAAACACCAATGTTTCAGGAGTTTAAAACATGCTTATTCGATAACTCTTTTATTTCCTTTATGGGTTTATGTAGCTATGCTTCATTTTTTAAGATGAACTGTTTTCTCCAAGGCATTGTTAGATTCCAGACAGTGTTTCCTGTCATATGATTTACAAAGATTTGATTTCAAAAACAGTATCATAGCTAATAAAATATTTCTTGTTATGATTTTAAATATGCATTCAACCTCAGAATGATCTCGAAGTAAGTCTGATTTTGTGGTGGCTGTGCTTCAAAGGGGACATCAGATGCCTGTCTTCCACAAGTTGGTATAATTCTTTAGGGTGTTCATGAAGGTCTGCAACATACTTTGGTTAAAATTCCTCACAACACCCTTTTTTACCTTGCTCTGTTTACAGCGTCTGGTTTCGGGGCATGTCCCTTTAAATGCTAATGAGCTCTGCTCACCCCACCAGGGGTGTGTCTACGTGGTGGCCAGGGGTGGCACCGGCCCCCCCTGAAATTTGGCTGGCCACCCCAGCTCTGCTCACCCCTCCAGGGGTGTGTCTACGTGGTGGCCAGGGGTGGCACCGGCCCCCCCTGAAATTTGGCTGGCCACCCCAGGTGCCCCCCCTACCAGATGTCTTGCCATAGGCTTGTTTTTAGTAAATTTCTAATTTTAGGTGGTTTCTATAGTGTGATCTTAATGACAATGTCGAGAGCGCATAATGTTAAGCGATCCATGTGCGCGAGGACGAATCTCTCCGGATTTCCTGCACTCACACAAAACTGGACGTGTGCTTTTAACATACATCGTTCCTTTAACATTCCGATGTATGTTAAAGAGGGTGGCCCCCCCCCGGCCACCCTCTTTTGAGCCAGTGCCCCCCGACTGCCCCC